CAATAGTTCTACAGAGTATTTTCCCTCCCCTACACTTCAGTCTAAGCCAGTTAGGTATCCCCAGGAAAGGCAAGGTGTGCTAAAGATTGTTAGAAGTCAAAGAGCTTCTTCAAAACTGTGAGGTTCTGCATGCATGACCTATAATGCATCATCACCTGAGTGACACCTACCTCTACAGTTTTGTACTAGAGGAAATTTGAACAGTGGAAAAATTATTTCTGTATCAAGACCTAAAGAAAATATTAGAAGTTTCCTTTCTCAATATGGAAAGCCAAATTATTTATCTGATGATCACAGACCTCATGGAGACTCTGAATCACATTGCTGCCTAAAGAAAATAGAGCAGGCTTGAATATCAGGTCTGGTTGTCCAGTTGTTAGGCTGAGAAAGGAGTGGAAAGGTGTGGCGAAGAGATGGCTTTGAACCATTAGTCAGAGTCTCCTGTCTGTTCAGATCTCAATGAAAGACATTGGGTGTCTCCACAAAGGCATCTCTCACTCAACCTTCTTGAAGCTGTGATGATATTCATGTAAACTGAAAGTCTTTACTGTGTGGGGCCCTTCAGTGCAGATCTCACTAAAGCACCCCGGCCTTAACCCATACTTCTGTCTTCTTTTAGGATTCTCTTCCTGTATATCAGCCCCTGGTGTTTTTCAAGAACCTGATTTTGCTTTCAGATACATTAAATGAAGATCAGTACAACTTGCACTTGGACAGCTGAGAGAAGAATTTTACCCTACGTTTCATAAAATACTCACCAGTAATTATGCCACGCATCTTTCAAAGCCAACTCATATATCCCTTTCTTTCAGATTTCTATACCTCCCTGAAAAAAGTATTGAGTAATCGAATGTACTTTACATTTTTGTGTTGCTCACTGTTACAGTTCAGTAGCTTTATTGGTTTCTTGACTTACAAACCAAAGTACATGGAACAGCAATATGGACAATCTACATCTAAATCTAACTTCCTAATAGGTGAGTTAAACCATGCAGCACACAGGGAGAGGTTATGGCATGCTTCTTCTAGGCCTAAATTCCTTGCAGAACAGGCTGGTGTAAATGGTGATCTCTGCTGAACTTGAATTATATAAATGCAATATACAAACTACTGCTTTGGTGTCTATGGGACCAGAATAAATCATTGTGTTGTGTTATGTTTTGTGTTATGTTTTATGTTATGTTTTATGTTAATCATATTATAGCAAGGCCCCCTCAGATATACAATGAATGTAGTGTGGGCATTTTAAATGCTGCAATGTTTGAAAAATGCCTTGCAACAGAAGTGGGTTTTGAGGGTAAGGCATTTCAAAAATAGCATATGCAACCCAGCGATTAGGCTGAGCACAAAGCCACCTACAGTCATCATAACATAACAGAAAGCTACCAGGGTTATCAAGCTGAGGGCAGAGTTTGGCTCTTAAACCCAGTATGACTTTTATTTTGACGCTTCCCTCATATGATCTTTTTCAGGATTGACATCCTTACCTCCTGTAAGCATTGGGATTTTCCTAGGAGGGCTCATAATGAAAAAGTACAAAATGAGCATCATTGTAGCAACCAAGTTTGCATTTACCATGTCATTTTTGGCCTACGCCTTGACTCTTCTGCACTTTTTTGTTGGCTGTGAGAACCATGTGGGA